GCATCTCTCATACAAATCTTTCAGAGCTTCAACTGAAAGAGACTCAAAGAGCTTGCAGAGCATATTTAACTTTTCAGACTCATCAATATTGATAAGCTCACTTTCCTCCACAAATGTACTTTTATCATACGTAACTCGATAGGGTATTTTTTCCTGGAAATCAGAAGCACTATCTACATTTTTGGGTCTGAAGCCATCTAGTCTGCCATGCAACACCTTGGTAGTCTCAGGAAAAATCATGTTCTTTTCTAGCCTCCACAGAAGAGCAAAATCCTGTGATTCAGTCTGTGAATGGCTACTTACTTGTCTACATGAGCATGTGTCATGTTTCTCTTCTGCAGTGTTAAGCACAGACAACTGCTCCTCTGCTCTGGGAGGAGGCAGATTATTGTTTGTAAAAGTGAGAGCTAATTTGTGATGTTTCCTTGTTCTTTTATTTTGTTGATTTTTTTTCTCGGTGGTTGTTTCACTAGCTACTGCTTCAGGTTGCTGAAAATGCAATTTCTTTGTATCCTGCAGCTCCAAGGTGTCCACAGGTGTCCCACGAAGCACATCTACTGTGTCAAGAGCATTTCTATTAATGTGATCTTTAGTACTTATACTATCATCTGATTGATTTAGACTTGTCTTCCTCACTCTCCTTGACCTTTGCTGTCTCTGTTCTAAAGAGCCTGACAGAGGCCAATGACCTACCATTTGTAATTCTGGTGCAATTTTATCTGAACTAACGGACAAATTTTCTTCCTCCAATCCTTTTTCAACAGTACAGGAATCAGGTAGGCCCACCTGCTCCCTATCTAATTCAAGAGGAGGCTGACTGGGAGTTTCGCCTTCCTTATCAGTCTTCAAAGATTTTTCTAATCTTCTAGGTCTTTTGACCCTCTGTCCCATTGTTTGTTCTATAGGCCAATCCCCCAGAAAGTTTAGTAACTCTGGCTTGCCTGACACATGCAAAACTGAACTGCTTGGTTCAACTACATTATTTCTTTGTGTTAATTCTGGTTCTGCAGTTATTTCACTGTATTGTTCAACTCCAGTGTCACCTCCAACAACACTGTTATCACTATGTTCTTCGACTCCTTCAGGAAGAGGCACATGCAAGCATACAGTCCCTTCAGAGCTAGTCTCATCTACCTCAACCACTTTTGTTTCAGTAATTCCTTCCATTTTTTCTCCCTTTTCTTCTCCCTTCTCAAAAAGCAGTACTTTCTCTTCACGATCTGACAAATAGATATCCAAGTCATCTTTAAGAGTGTTGTTCTCAGAACTGTGTTCCACTGAGTCCTTTTTCAGTTCTTTGCCCTCTTTCTCAAAACCTTCAAGAGCAGAATTATTTTCTAATGTTAAAGTAGTAGCAGACAAAGATTCTTTATCTTCAGCTAATGCAAGAGGTTCCGCTTTAAAAACAAAAGGTCTTTCTTCCTTTACGTCAGAATGGATCTCTCTCTTTCTGAAAGACAATTTGGAATGAAAAATACACCCATCTGAAACATTTTAAGCACCTGTCCTTATTTATACTTTTAATCCTGAATTGGATATTTAACATATTCAAGATACAGATCAAAAGCTGCCTGTTAGAACACGCTGTAATCATCCAGATGGAGAATACGTATGAAATCTTCACAGTCTCACACTCTGAAATCTTGCGAGAGGAAAGAAACAAATTTAAGATGACTTAGCACAAACCTCAGGACTCATTAAGAAAAAAAGAAATAGAGTAAAGGGGAGCTTTACTTAGTAAGTACCCCTCTTACTTCATTCAGCAGGGGGCTTGCCCAGTAGTCTATCTTTTCCCTTTCCTAACATTTGGTTATATAGAGGCAGGCTACTGCCTGCCATTTCTTCGTTTAAATCATCCAATCTAGTAACTATGTGCAGTCAGTGAACGATCACCACAAGATTCTAAACAAGTCTAGAAATTTAGCAACAAGTAGTAATGTCTTTCACAATGTGCTATACTCCATTAATTACCAGAGCCTACATCATTTCAGATACGCTAGGTATGTAAAAATAAATGAGATTATCAACATACAACATGGCCAACATAACTACTGTAATATCTGTTTTCCTGTGCATTTTTATAATGCATGTGCAGCATTATTCAGATTAGCCACTACAAAATAATCCCACATATACAACAACATAAATCTACCCAATTTCACATTAAATATATTCCACATGGACAAACATATGATTCATTTCTATTACACTAAGAATGACAAAGACATCATATTATACCATACATACATAACATACAGACTCAGAATCAGTAACCTCACTGCATATGGAACTCGGTTCTTTCTAAAAAGCTTGTTAGACATTTTAAGTATATTTAATTGCAGTATAGATCTAACAGCACATTTCCAAGACAAGAGCAAGCAGACTGAAAGGTAATACAACTGGACCAAGAGATTTCCAGAAAGAAGTGGAAAGTTGATTAGATTCCTTGATTATTCCTTCCCAGGTTCTTAAAATTCTTAAAAATCAAGGGAAAAAAAGTAGCGCATTTTTTAAAGCTAATTTTTGGAACACATTCACAGTTGAAGAACATCAGCCAGTCTCCACTGTTAAAAAGTTTAAGTCTTTATCCTTTTATTTGAGAATACAAAGACAAGAAAAATATCTAACCTAGAGCTTTCTTCCTGAGAAGAATTTTCACTCCACACAGCAGCTTCGGATTTTCCTGGGACTGAAGAATTCAAAACCGAGCTAACCGAAAGGCAGCGTTCATACCGTTCCAGCATTCTTTTGATCTTTTCTTTAGAGATACCATGAATGTTCCGCCTGGATTAAAAAAGAATAAGAGATTAAAAAAAAAAAGTCCAAATCTGTATATTAAAAAGACTGAAGAGAAAAAAAAATAGGTGTACAGCAAGACTAACCAGAGAACACAGGGGCCCAAGGCAAAAGCGGAAACAGCAATTCTTTTTGTATCAGTGCACTAGGTCATTCAGAACAGAAGTCTCAAACAAACTGCTGCCTCAGTTCACATCTGGTGGCCCTTTTCTTTAAGGGGATGTTTTGCTAAATACTAAAAATCTAAAAATGCCATCAATGATGCATTCTCTTCAAATAAGTATCAAGCAGGTGGATTCTGAATAATCCAAAGCTACCCTCAGCTCTCTGAAATATCTGAAAGCCTCATCCAGACTTGACTGTGAAGACCTCCTGCTCCTTAAAGAAACAAGATATTGCCAGTCAGTGGGAAGCAGGCAGTCCTTGACTCCTACTGAAGCCACTTTCTACTGAGTTCCATTTTTTTGAAAGAAAATAGTCCACCATAGCACCTTTGAAAGCTGGCCAACTTTAATCTACGCATGGAAATTCAGGTGAAGACACATCATGTGGGCTTACGAGAAAATCACAGAATAAGTTACACTGAAATGGACCTCTGGAGATCACGTTGCCCAACGTCCTATTCAGAGCAGCTCTGAACTAGCTCAGGCTATACAGGGCCTTATCCTATCAAGTTCTGAATATCCTCAGGATGAAAAGTCCATACATTTTCTGGGCAACCTGATTCAGCTCTTTACTGCCCTCATATGAGGGGAAAAAAAAAATCTTATATGTAATCGAAATTTCCCATGTTCCAATTTGTGTCCATTTCCTCTTGCCCTATCCCTGCACGCTTCTCAGAACAGACCTTTTTAATCTTCACTATAACCTCTCAACAGGTAACCGAAGACAGCAATGTGATCCTTCCTTAACTTTTCCTCCTCCACGGTGAACAAACTACTCTGTTCAACACTAACATCTGTAAACCTGCAGAGACTGCACTGTCATATCATCCAGGCATTCATCCCTGAGAGATGCCAGTACCCTGCTAAGCTGCTTTTTATATAGCTGATCACAACCCTCTGAACTCAGCTCCCAGACTGTTTTCCGGCTGCCTTGGCATCCACTTAAATGGTTCATATCTCATCTATTTGGTTCTAAGTTTACTAAGGAAGACAATATAAAAGGTGCTGCTGAAGAACAGGCAAACAACAAAGTTGACCCACCCCAAGCAAAGTTTTGCTCCTCTCAGTCACTCAGGAACTGATTGCCCTACACTAAGCAGCAGCAGAAATGTTCCAAGTAAGGCAGCAGACCAACTGGATGCAAACACAGACACCATCTAATATCATTTTTGCAATTTCGGGATTCCAAAGGGGCAGTCACTGAACCTTAAACACAAAGGAAGTGCAGTCATGGAAGCATTACATAATCACTATTGCTAATAACCAGTTTCTTTTGTATACAACTAAATTGACAGGAGAAAATTTTCATAATAGTATATAAAATCCTGAAAAAGACTGCATGCAAAACAATCAAAATATAATTAGGGGATTTTTAACACAAAAATCCTCATCGATCTCTTACTACCTCATGAGCCACTGTACTAAGTGGTACTTTTTTTAAAAAATACAAGCTTACAGAAAAAGAAAGATATAAAATCTAATATGACTTTTTCCTTTATATTCCTACCTTTCAAGTTCCTTTGGTTTAAACTTCCACCAAGTGTCTGGCTCTCGGAACATGACTTTGTATTTGAACTGCTGAGCCTGAATACAGCAGTTATAAAACAAAGCAAAGACAAATCAGTCATTTCTTTATAGAAAAGCACACAACATACAAAAATCACAGGTAGCTTTAACAAAGCAAATAAAATATTTGGAACAAGGAATTTTTGTTCAATATTAATTCCTGGAGACTTTTCAAACTGCAAGTATGATATATATATATACATATATATACATGCATCTCTTACTGTAATCTTAAATGTGTACCATGACCACAGCAAAGTATCGCTCACAGACAGGCAGACAGGTATCAGATCCAAGTCCCTAGGTAACATTCACCCCTGCCACACACACAAGACATGCTATTTATATTGATTTCTTAATTAATTTATATCATCTCTTTAAATATTCAACCTCTTCCCAGGTCAGGGCGCAGAGTATCTCCCTTTTCCAGGAAGGCTACGGGCACGTTTACACCGTCTCTCAGGGACAAACACATTGCTTCTATTCAGAGTTTACCAGATGCAAACCAATTCCGGAACGGAAGCAATTCGAGCGCACTAGTGCAGCTGAAAGGGGTAGCCTTCCTGAAGCCTGGGAAGCTACAAGTAAAGACGATGCCTGTGTATGGTCCTTACACGGTCTAGTCTCGTCACGAGGGAAAAAGCAGCCCAAAGCCCCATTAGGGTAAACACTGCAAGTATTGTGTCATTTCCCACCGTTCCTGTTTTGGGATAAACTTCTTAGCACCCTACTCAAGCCCTGCAATTCCTGTAAGATTTTTTTTTATACCTTCAAGTCAAGATACAGCAAAATCAGAGTCTTTCTTACAGATCTGTTACTTTATCAAATGTTAAGCAAGTATAATCAAAAATTTTATTAACAGAAATGATGTGGATTCACTGTTCACCAATCCTGCAAAGCTCGTAAGTAATCGCTCAAAAGCTGCCCATTTTGTTCTGGGTGCTGCTGCACAGGCTCCTGGATATGTGCAAAAGAAATCCCACAAGATCTACTTTCAGAAAGCAATCAGGGCTTGAGAAGTACAAGATTGCTGAATGAAGACCATTCATCAACAAAACCAATATAGTGTGAGCAGCAGAAGCAGAAGCTAGAACACTATTCAAAAATATGTTTAAAGCTAGAGTATGACAAAATTACAGGAGGGCAAAACACTTACTAAGTTACTCTTACTTCTCATCCCAGTTCATTCCTAGGCTAAATCCAATTGGAAACCTACCCACTGTTTTCAGCATAATGATTAGTAGATGTTATGTCTGTCTCTCCCTCGTTCCCAGCACACTCACAGTACATCTTTAAAACAAAATTTTGGTGTCAGAACATTACAGAAAGGTGTAACATTTTATGTTGAAAGGATACCATTTCCTCTAGCGTCTTATGAATGGTCAATGATCAAAATAAGAGTTAGATCCTAGATGTGCTGAAATTAAGAAAAAATTACTCTCTTACTCCAGAAACTGGAGTAAGAGAACCTTGTAACAGAGATCTCTATGTTATTTAAATCATTAAATGCAACTCTGCAAGTTAAATGGAGATTGCATATGCTTAGTACAAAATAAAAGCAGGTCACCTTTCACTACACAACTAAGATATGCAGATGATGTAGTTTGATTGCATCACTTCTATATAAATCATTAAGTATATCTGGCAAGATTAACATTTCATAATTGCTTTTAAAAATTCCCACTGCTAAGAGTTCACTACAACACTGCAATGTAAAGGCAAATAATTTCTGATAATAAGTTGTATGTATCCTTAAACAAACACGATTTTGATCGTCAGTCTAATCTTCACAAAATGAACAAAAATATTAGCCCTCTCATTGTTTGGTTATTAACCTCATCCTATATTTGACAGGGAAGTAAACAAGATTATTTCACAGAGCATAAAACATACAATCAGCACTCATTGATATGAGTAATAACAGAAATAAGCTTACAATTTTGCTGATAATATAAAAAGAGGAATAGAATTCAGTTTCCCCTACAAAAGTTATATCTGCTTCTAAGCACAAAGCATTGCGATTTGTTACTTGGAAACTAGGCCAGGTCAATAAGCAGGCATGCAAGGCGTGTGTGACATGATGCAATATAACACGATATGATACTATTCTGACTCCAGGCTATAGGCTATATCCTCCCTTATGGAAGAGAAACAAGAGCTGGACAGAAACAATAACTGCATTTTAAAACATACGTTCTCATGCTGGTCAACAATCCCCTTTCATATTGCTCAAGTTATCATACTAACCAAAGTAACATAAGGCTTCATCTCCCACGCCTGTATGTTTGTGTTGTCTATTATTATAGGAGACATTCTCTTTTCAAATGCTTCTTTGGCTGAAAGACACACGTGTACAAAAAAAAATGTGATACAGTTAACTTCTTGGTTAATAAAACAGAGACATTCTCTAAATTTGTATTATCATTTTTTAAAGTAGATAACCTCTAATGATTAACCACTGTGTAAAGAACTCTTGCCATAGCTTGATCTTTTCTTGTTCCAAGCCTTGTTCCAAGGGCTTTTTTATTTTAGAAATCCCCCACCCTCACGTGGAAAACTATTGTGGTATGGCATTATACTTCTGAATTAACATATGTATGATAATCAAGGAATGAAAATGCAGATGTAAAATGTACCAAGATGACTAATCAGTAAATTAAACTAAAAAAAAACTACATGATCACCTTAAAGTGGACTTCTTTGTTGCATACAAAATTCTTGGCTTTTTAACAGTCTTAAGATTAGTCCACTCTGTAAACTGCATAAAATATGAAAAAATCAAAAGAATTATTGTAATTTTTAAGTACACAGTAATAAAATGTTTAGAATCACTACCTTTGAGATACAGCATTCTGATTCTATAGCTATGGTACAAAGCATCTGTACTATCAAAGTTATCTTGAATCACTCATTTCTTACTAATCCATTTTTCTCTGGTTAGAAATTTGACAGCAGGAAAATTCAAACTGAGCAAATAAAAGCTTGAAAATAGCTGTTTTGTGGAGAGTCTAGTGGAAACCAACATCAAAAAATACACTGATTACAGTAAAAACACCGTCATTTCCTCTGTCGTGTTCTTACAATTCGTACAATCTTTGTCTTAAATTTGCCGACAATCACAGCTCTCTTGTTGAAGAGAAAAAAAAAAAAAGTAGGAGCATGAATAAACTGTGTAGGTGTTATTTGTATCAGCATCCTCATTACTTAATGCATATGCACATGTAATTGCTCATCTTAATCTTAGAAGGTGCAATCTTGGGAGATGGTAAAGAGCAGCACTCCAAAAATGAGACACAGCCCAAAATACGTACCATGAGAGAATGTGGGGAGAAAAACAACCCTTGGACACAAACACAAACATTTTGTGTGTAAAACACACTGTACACAGGTCACCCCTGAGTTTGTGCCCGTATTCTAATTATTAAAAACAATTCTAAAATAAGATAGACACTCATCCTGTGACACAAGCAATACAGGACAGGCAGCTTTTTAAACGGCACCCAAACACTGAGCTGTAAACAGGCAAGGAAATCCCTGCTTCATTCCTCACCTCGCTTCCTGTTCCAGTCATGGGCTTCCCCTAAGCAACCCGCATCATAGTGGTACTGTCCGTGTTTATAGAAGTAATCATCAGTACTAAGAATGATCCCACCTGGATTATCCTCAAGCAAAGCCCTGTAAAAGATCAAGAGGCAAACAGTGTTTCTCTCTTCACCTCCTCACCCAACATACTGGGTCCCATGCATGTAGTTGGACTCTTGCACAAATGGAACCCAAAAGGCATGGCCGATTACCAAGAACAGAAGGAGCAACTCCACATGTGGGAAGAGCAACCCTCAGGGCAAAGATGATCTATATTCATTTCCCCTCCTTTTTCTCCAAAGGTTGGAGATGTCCAAGGGAAACAGCTGCTAGAGGCTTCCTGAAAGCCTTATTTCAAGAAACCATAAATGTTTTTCTATCTATATCTAGCAACATAGTTTGACACTGACAGACATGTATATAGTCTTAATTGCACCAGATGTTTCAGATGCCAGCCATGGAAACCTAATTACAATCAAAGTTTTGGGGAGTTAGGGAAAATAAAAATAAAACAAAGGTTTGATCTGGTCACTTCAACATACACTGCTTGCACCAATTCTCTTAAAAGAATTCCCACCATGGAAAAGAAATTTCTACCTCTGCAGACTTGGTACGTTTCCATTTGTTTAACTGGAAGGAAACACCTGAAATGGAGAAGGGCTGGAAGAATATGGTAAAGCTAAATAGCACTGTGCTAATCCTCTGCTGGCATAAACTCCACTCCAGACCTTAGGCCTGTGGCAGAAGCTAGAGCTAACCCCTCTTATTTCAGTGTCCGCTAGAGCTGCTGCAAGCAGCTCAGCAACTACTATTGCACAAGACATTGCATGTACCATATGATTGCCCAGCAGGGTTTATGCACTTACAACTATTTACACATCAGAAAATTGCCTCTGCCTCCACTAAATCCCATGAAACAATTAAGCAATTTATTTTATAAGCTCACAATATAGATGTTCTACCTTGCCAAAAATGATTTTCCTGATCCTGGAACACCTCTGAGAAGAACAAGTACTTGACCTATAAGGTGCATCTTTTTTCTCATCATGTGACAAACAGGTGGCTGCAGTGCTTGCGAGTGGTTCAGTTTTGAGTTTCTATCTTGATTTCCCCATACCTTCAAGGAAGGATTGCTATCCCAGGCATTGGAAACCACTGGAGAGGAAAAATAAAGTCCTTTCATTTCAAAAGTCTTATAGTCTGAAAAAGGTCTCCACTGGCCCGGACTAGCAGCCACAGGAGTTACAAAGCTATGACTTCCACTGGACGGATAAAACTGGGGAGCCATGGGATTCCAATGCTGCTGAGGTTGAGGTGATGGTGTAGAAAAACTTAAATTATATCCCTGCTGAGATTGCTGAAAATCTGCAAGTTCTGGTGTTTTCAAATGGGATCTTTCAAGAGAGGCATTCACCTCCGGGAGAAAAGAGTTTTGGCTGCTGCTGCAGGCATCCATTTCCAATTCGCGCTGTTCCAGACACTTCGAATTAGGATTTTCAGGGACAGTTATTATCAGTTCCACAGGTCTCTGGGAGGATTCACCAAAAGCAGCAGTCACACTTCCATGGTCTGAAGCGGTATTTTCTATCTGATGGGAATTTCCACATGGCATGTCTTCACTGGATTGCTTATAGACTTCTGGAGCCACATCAGGTATTTCTGATAAACCAGGATCACCCAGCGTCTGTGCAAAAGGATCCAATTCAGCTGGTGAACTAACTTCTCTGTGGTTGCTCAGCTCACTCACAGGCATAGGCGGCTGAGTACAACCAAAGTTTTCTAAACTCTCATTATTCATCTCCACTTGCTGTGGAGATAGGGCATTGCAACCAGAATCAGGTTTTTCCCACTCAGAAAAATCAGTAAATCCACTAAAACTGTCATGTCCCACAGTGTATTTATTTGTGATGTGGTCATCTGCAGAATCAGGCAATTCATCACCCAAGCTGTACCTCACAAAAGCATTCTCTATTAAGGAATCCAGGTCCTCAGTCAGCTGCGTATCATGCGATAGGACCTCTCCTGTTCCTTCAGGACTATTTTCTTGTGCAGTACTTTCCTTCACTCTTTCATTTGTAACAGATCTCTGCTGATTCATAAGAGCCATTGATGACACAACTGGGTCAAAACTTGAGATCTTTGAAGATGCTACTCCTTTTGCATGGGTGGACAACTCTAGCAGATAATCCATAGCACTTTCTACTGTTGAATAAGGTAAAGAAAAAAAGAAAAGGTCAACTGAAGCAATACAAGCTGTTATAAATACAACTCTTACATCAAGAAGCATCTAAAAAAACTAAAAAGAATGTTAAACACCTTACCAATTCACATTTCAAAAAACCTCCCACAAACCACTTGAACTGTTTCTCGTTAGAGATAAAGACAAAATTGAATATAGACTTATTGCAAAGCAGTAATAATAAGCATAAAGAAACTAAATGCAAGCATAGTAAGCATAAAAATAGTAAAAATAGTAAGCATAAAAAAGAAGTATTAAGCTTCACTGGGAGGAAATAAAACAAAACAAAAAACAGAACAGGATGTTTAAGCGGATGCTTGTTTCTAACCCATATCATATAAGAGAAATCATGTGAAATTAACTGAAAGACATGACAGTTAAAAAGGGATTAAAGAAATAAAAATATTAAAATTACTTTCATTATGACTAGACCCAATTGAAAGTGTCATAACTAACATTTTTTTAAAAAAAGTCTGCATTAATTCTTTGTAAAGACACTATACAAAATATAGGTCGCCTCTGATCTGCCTGAACAGAACAAAAACCCAGAACATGTGGCATCTGAGTCCTAAAACTAAGTTTCTACTTTTCTGAAGGAAAATTCAGCAAAAAAGTACAAGTTCTTTGAAGTACAACTCTCTCTGCACAGGACGATCTATGCTCCTTTAATTTAAATCTTTCCACCCTGTCTATACAAGACTAACTATTATTACTCATGTGAAGACAGCGAGTATCTTTCAAATATTCTTCATTTTTAAAAGGACAACACAGTAACAAACTTGGACACGCTTCCACAATGCAAAGGAAAAAACATGTTTGCTAAAGCTACAACAGGATACCTCTCGACACATAGGCAGGAATCCACTGAATTCTCCAATAAAGTTCTAGATAAAGCTATTATTTTGGTAAAGGCAAATCTTAAATATAAATGAAGAGATCACTAGGAGTAGGTAAGTAATTGGGCAGACTGTAGGCGGAAAAGCACAGCTCAAGCAGAGAATTTATCCTCTAAAAACTAATCCTCAGTGGAATCACAAGATGATGGTGAAAAACAAAGTAAAACAAAAGAAAAGTCAAATATTTAAGCTAAAGCTGCCAGGACCATACACTGTGTGGCTATGACTTAAGAAACTGTGATGAAGAATTTAATACACCCTCCCAGAAGAAAGTTTACGCATCTAATTGATATGGCACAGAAAGTAACTGGAAAAACTGGATTCCCTTCCCCACGCTGCCTCTGCCTGCTGCGTGTCACAGAACAGGCCACGTAAACTGTGCCTGCATTTCCAGAGCACTCTGCTACTGCGACTCAGCACCTCACTGAGATGTCATCTGACTTGGAGAATCTTGCCTGGGAAGAGGTATGAGATTTCAAAATATTATGACTCACCTACTCGTTAAAAGCTGAACTGACAAACATACTTGCAACTCCCACACTAAGCTGGAGTTGTGAGGTTTAAGAGCTATTTGTGCAACAAAACTATAATGCCAACTGTGTTTTATTTACCTTTAAAATCACATTCAGACAAAACCATATAAACTACACTAGGATCCAGATCAGAAAACATTTCTGACATGCTGTTGAAGAGCTCTTCCTTATTGACACTGTACATTGCTTGCGGTACTGAAAGTCTTGGGTTCCCGTGAAGGGGCACAGCAACAGCAGTTCTGTCGAAATTTCCACTTTTCCGAGAAGGACTCCCACCAGTTTTCCTTTTCCGTGGCATCTTGTTTTCCAAAAATCAGGTGGTTTTAGTTTACACTCCTGAGTTTGACAGTACCAAGCTTAGAAATCACAATAAACCTGTCTTAATCAGGAAGGGCACATCGCAAGGGGGAGACCTAGAATGAAAAGAATGGAAAAACTTTTACAAGACACATAGGTCACTTTTCCACACATCTCTTCTTTAGATAATGAAAAGATCCTAAACAGTCCACAGGTATCCAGAAAAGCACTTCGTAGGAGCTGGCTGACTTCTTGAATGGTTGGCAGCAAACAGCAGTCTTATTTTCCACCTAATTTGATAACCACTTTACGCCTGGAAAGTAAGAGTTTAAAAAGTCCAGAAAAGTGGAAAAGAAAACAAACAAATAAACAAACAAACCCCTCATATTCTGTTCAAAATTCAGAACCTTTGCTCCTTTTACAAAAGTATTGGAAAACATAACAAACATCTCCAAATCATCTGTAAGTCTTCCAAAACATGATGCCTGCTTCCATACGACGTTTATTCTGCCAGAGATGAACCCTTTAGCATGAACAGAAAAATCCATGGCAGCACCAGGCAGCTCTTCCCTCCTTGGATCTCTGGCACACAAATGGCAATGCCAGGTCCACGTGAGATACTGACAGCATTTCTCCACTATTCTCGAGCAACTTCTTCCAGCAACCATGAGAAGTATCATTTACAAAGAGGTGGCCTCTTACACTCCCAGGTCGTGCATTTTTTCTTAATAAGAAAAACAGACAACTCCAGGATCCCAGGAGTTTCTGCCACACGTAATTTGACCTTAGGTAGATGAGATGAATGTCAAACAATGAAGTCCCCAGGGAAGAATGAAATACACGAGAGAAGGAAAAAAACACACAGGAAGAGACAGACTTCTAAAAATGAAGGAGAGACAACAGTGGAAGCTGCTAGCTACCTATACAGAATGACTTGGGACTAGAACTATACTTTTAATTATATATATTTTTAGCCACCTTTCAGTTATTGAATGAACATCAGCATGTTTTGTTGTGGAACAGCAGTCCAAGAAACAAATTACACTATTCTTTACTGTCACACACACAAAAAAACATTTAAAGAAAAAAAATACAACAAAAAAGAAAGAAACAAGGCTACAGTAAGTCATGAATTTCAAAGTCGTATTCCTATTTGATTCATCCTTCAGCCCATAAAACAGGTTGAGACATAACCTAAAGCAAAATGTTTCAGTGCTTAAAAATGTGATTCTTCTTCACTATAACAGGTTCAGTGAGAAAGGAAAGCTCCTGGAAGGGAAAAGCTATTCACACACCTTGATGTTACTAAACAGCTAGAGATTTTTCAGAGAATCATAGAATGCTTAGGGTTGGAAGGGAGCTCTAGAGGTCATCTAGTCCAACCCCCCTGCACACACAGGGTCACCTTAGAGCACGTGGCACAGGACTGCATCCAAGCAGGTTTTGAAGATCTCCAGACAAGGAGACTCCACAACCAAAAGAGGCCAGCACCATCCTCCTCACTCCATACCTTGAGGTACTTATAGACACTGATCAGATCCCCTCTCAGCCTTCTCTTCTCCAGGCTGAACAGGCCCAGCTCCCTCAGCCTCTCCTCATAGGGCAGATGTTCCTGGCCCCTGATCATCCTTGTAGCCCTGCGCTGGACTCTCTCCAGCAGCTCCACATCCCTCTTGTACTGTGGGGCCCAGAACTGGACACAATACTCCAGATGTGGCCTCACCAGGGCTGAGTAGAGGGGCAGGATCACCTCCCTCCACCTGCTGGAGATGCTCTTCTTAATGCACCCCAGGATCCCATTGGCCTTCTTGGCCACAAGGGCACACTGCTGCCTCATGGTCAACTTATCATCCACCATGACACCCAGGTCCCTCTCTGTAGAGCAGAGAAACTGCATTTAACCAAAATATTCCTAGCACTGTTAACACTTCAATCCAAATCCCCTAAAATGAATCAGTCCCATAAGGAACCACTGCTAAGAGACATTCTCTTTAGCTAGGTCTTCTAATAACTGATTTTCTTTATCCACTAAAGTATTTTTCTTATCCAGGTACTACATATACTGGACTGCACATCCAATTACATATTAATAATAAACTATCAAATTCACACACTTAGGTCTGCCTGAATCCAGATCAATAAATTACACTGCGTTATTTCAGTATTAATGAGGCCTAAACTGTTTATTGGAATTAATCACATACTCACTATCACTTTCCTTATCATCATACGCCATTCCAACTCCACCTACACTTTACTTCCCTTATGCTACAGATACTTTGCTTTATAGACAAAGATTCTACTTAATGTTGCAATGAGCACAGTTCTTGTTTTCAAGCTAAACTTCTGCTGAAGTGGTCCTGAGACCTAAAAATCTACTAATTTCATTACTACAAATCTTTAATATTATTACAGAGAAAGAAGTAAGAAAAATGCAACAGAAAAATCATAGTAAAAAGTAAAAAGGTTTTAAATTTATTATTGCCAGTCCCGTATTTCTTAACCTATTATCAAATATACTATTGAGAAAAAGCTTGAAATAAACATGGAGATTTAGATCAAGAAGGAATTTAAGAAATAAATCCACATCTGTCTTTCCTCCCTGCTCTACTTAAAATATTACCTGTGCTTTTCCAAAAGCTTCCTTCTACAGATCAAGCAGTTCTTCAAAACACATATCATCTCTTTTCTCTTTAGTTCAGAAAACAAAACTCAAAAATCAAATTCAAAATTATTTTGCTACAGAGCATATTTTGTTCCAAGTTTACCGATCAGTTTAGTTTAGAAATCTTCCTTTGTTTCCAGCAATCTAGGAGTCAATGCTGCTTCAGATGTCAAACTTGCAAGGTTTGTAGTTTCGTTTGTAGTTTCTAAATAATATAAATCAGTCTGCAGCTAGCCACAAATGAGACTTTTTTTTTCCCCCAAGATTAAAAGGGAGTTGCAATGCCATAATGATTTAGAAGAGCAAGGCTATACTGAACACACCGAAATGGAATTCTAGACAATTAGCCAGAGGCTGCAAAATACTCAGATGTTCACTACTCAATTCTGAATATCACCTTCTACACATGCCAATTAAAGCAAACAGCTGTTTCATTTCAGCACTGATGAAACGAATACTCCTGTGGCACTCCCAACTTCACCTTTAAAAAAATACAACTGAAAATTAACAGAGAAATCACAAGCATCTCGCCAGTCTTCTTCAAAGCTACACATCTCCTAATGCTAAGGATCTTCTCCCAATGTAGTTCAACTACCAAAAATAAACATAGGTACAAAAAATTACCTGCATGTAAATCAGCCCTTAATCAAGCAGTCTGAAGAAGGAAAGAGATATTGAGAAACTGGCATCCTCTATAAAATTACTTCCAAGTGTTAGCACCCTAGAAAAGAGAAGGCAGAAGACTATCAGCTCAGAATGCTTCCAGCAAACTTCCTAGATAGATAGAATTTAGTTTTATATGTAGATTATCAGCTTAAGATATTGCGTTTTCCAGCACTGCTACTCATAAGGAGCTGGATGGACAAAGCACAGTAATTTTAAGTTTTTCCCTAGAAAAAAAATGAAATGGAATTTTTCTTTGACACACAAACTAAAGAATTAAAAACAATTAAGATCATTTAAACAAAAATCTAAGTAAACAACTCCCCATAGCCTTCCAAACAAATATATGTCATTAAGATAACTTTTTATTGAAATATATAACATATCCTAGCACTCTTCAAGATTTACTAAAAATATTCAGGTCATGATCAAGTTCAAATGACATGTAAGTCATCAAAATCAAACCCTCACCTAATGCAACTTTCAAGCAATATGACCAATGTTGTCTGACATATATGTTTTTAAATTTCTTTAAGCAATTTATAGAAGATAACTACATACATATAAAAGATTATCTTTAGCCATTTTTTGAATTTCAAACTACATAAAATATTTATCATGTAATGTTTATTTCTATCTTTTGGTTTTAGAAACGAATTGACATTTTGGAGACTGTAAAAAAATGTGTATATATAATTCAAATGAAATAATAACGGTACAGAACTTACATTTTGAGCTTCACTGACTTGCTCTGCAGTGGGTCCCCTTTCATCTTTTAAAATCCAGCACTGATGGCACATTTAATAAAGATTTTGCAGTTAGAAAATAGAACACATTCTTCTGTCAGGAAACCATACTGTCCAACATATAAATTAGATGTCAGTAGAAGTGGATGCCCCCTCCTGACACAGAAATTAACAGAAAAGGAAACAAAACGTATAGTTTGTTCATGGATCACATAATTTTAGGAAAAGTTTAACACGGAGCAATACACATACATTTAAATAAATTTGTTAAGAACACTTAACAAATTACCAATGTGCCAAGCTGCACTCAGATCTAAGTTTTGCTAAGGATAGCTACTTGATTTCAGCTATGGATTTCTTATGTTAAAAAGTTAACTTATACTAAGCAAAGAAACAAATAAAATAGAATGAATTGGTAGTAAATATAAGTTTTCTCACTTGTCCTTTCACTTTGCTCCTTGTTGCAATTCTCAACCATCTTGACAATGTTCTCATATCCATACTGGTCACAAAAAGATTCATTCCATCATATGGGGAAGAGACGAAATCCTGGAATTAAATATATTACTTATTGATAAATCATTAATTTTTAATGTTCTAATTATTCTAGAAAAGTGCACTTATGTTCATTAAAGCAGCTGAAAAGTCCTAAAGTACTGTGTCCACACTGGAGATAAGTTAGAGATCCATTGCAAGACTGACTTCATGCCAGTGCACATACATACTAACTTAGAGCTCAGTTTCCTGATAGCAGACTGATGCTTGGAAACACATTAAAATCAATTAAAGAGAAAGAAAAAAAGGGAGGCGGGGGGGCGTGAAGGGAAGGGAAAGGGGGGAAAGGAAGGAGGGAAAAGGAAGGTTCAAGATAACATTCATGCAAGAAATGGGAATTTAAACAAATATTCTGACATGCTCCTAAAGCAGCTGGCTAAGGACGCAGTGTTT